AGGTCTAGTTTTAATCTTTGGCAAGTTGAAACCCAATTTTCCCAGCACCATTTATTAAAGAGGCTATCTTTCCTCCAGTGAGGGTGTTTGGCTCCTTTATCAAAGATGAGATGGCAGAGTGTGTCTGAGTTGTTTCTGCATCTTCTAATCTGTTCCACTCAGGTCTGTTTCTTTGCCAGTACCATGCTGTTTTTATCACAGTAGCTTTGTATTATAGTTGCAGGTTGGGGATTGTGATACCCCCAGGGAACATTCTAAGGTTTGTCCCATTGTATAGATGAAGAAAATGAGGTTTGGCAGGAAGCAGTGATCTGCCCAGGATATCACAGCACTGTGAGGAAAGATTTGATCCTTTTAGGCTAGAGGATTGGGGCAGTCTCAGTGGCACCAGGCTAGGCCCATGTGAGTAGGAAGTTTAGAGGGGAGGGACATGGGCTTCTTTCTAGCCTTGCCACCTGGGAGACCACCTGTGTTCTGTCCCTCCTTACAGAGGATGGGGCATTAGGCTGCTCCAGGTGGGAAATGGAGCCCCTAGACCCCAAGCAGACCCTTCCCAGCGGCTGTGGCTGCTGGTGGATTGGGAACCCCCACAGGAGCAGTGTTGCCAAGAGATGTAGAGGGCTGGAGGGGGCGTGAGACCCATTTCCGGGCTGGACATGTCTCAGGAGGAATGGGCTGAGGCCCACAGCCTTATGGCCTTGGCCATCTGGACATGGTAGCTGTGTAGAAATACTGGGCAGGGCCACAGATTGCAGCCATCCCTGTGCTGGGCATGAGAAGCCATGCTGTGCTCTCACTGGGATCCAATAATCCTAGAAGTTTCCCCAAGGGTGCACCTGAGCCAGGTTCACCAGATGAGGAGTCCTAGGCTGGCAGAGAGCAAACCCAGCTGTCCCCTGACCCAAGCCCTCCTTCTGGCTCTGTGGGTCCTGCTCCTGGGAGCTGCTCTGTGGCTCAGCTCAACTCTGACTCCCTGTCCCGCCTTGTCTTGGGAAGGGAACTTGCTCAAGCTGGAAGCCAAGAAGTCATTCTGGATAGTTTCCAACATCTCCCTGCTCAGTCCACCAGCACAGGCTGGATCTGCTCCGGGACCCCTTCCCAGATACTGCTGTCCCACTGCAACCTTCCTCTCCCTCCCTCTCTCTGGACCACACAACTCCCTCCTCAGGGCTCCTGGCCTTCTGGTCCAGGCCTCCAGACAGATACAAGAGTGACTGCCATTTGAAACTGGCTTTCACATGTCATGTGGCCCCACCCACCTAGTCAGGCTCCTCTCCCCCACTGCACTGCCGCAGCTCCTAGGCACCTCGCTCAGTCCCTTTATAGGTTTTCTTACCTACTGAGGACTACCTCTGCTGAGGAATCTTAAGGAGTCTGTCTTGTTGGTCAGGCTGTGCCCAGGGCCATACCTAGAGCTGATAATTAAGTATTCGAGACTAAATGCAGAGTGAATGAACCTGCCCTGGGAGTTTGGAAGCCCAGTTCCAGCCTAGATGACTGCCAACCTCTTGGAGCACCAACACTCTCTAAAACCTCCAGCTGTACTCGAATTGCCTGGCTATGTGGGCCCTGCATCTCTCTCCCAGGGCCTTGCTTTGACTGTGCTCATAGTACTGGGCTTGATGAGTCTAGCTATCAGGCATGGTGGTGCCCACCTGTAATTCCAGCACTTAGGAGGCTGAGGCAGGAGAATCACTGCAAGTTTGAGGCCAACCTGGGCTACATAGTGAGTGGAAGACCAGCCTGAGCTACATGGAGGGACCCTATCCAAAAAAAGAGGTGCAGCTTTCTTTTCCATGACACAGGGCCCACAGGAAGAGGCTG